AGAGCAGAGCTCTGAATAGGAAACCCATTTTTCAAAATTTCAATTTTCAGGACAAGGAATCGAGAGGGAGAAAAAAACAAGGACGAGGAGTGAGGAAAAAGGTTTCTGAAGGGGCTCTATATATAATGTATGAGAGAGAAAAAGAAAAAAAAATAGGATGTGCTATCCACACACCTCATTTTACTTTTTACACACCCATTAATAATTTATGTCCGTTGATCTTTTTCCATTCATCTAATCCGATGATCGAAAATTAAAAAAATGTATGAGAAGTAAAAAATTGTGTGTGAATATCACACCCCAAAAAAATATACTTGGGTGATCTGGAATTTTTTGGGAAATGTCAAAAAGACTTTACGTTAAATTATGAGTTGTTAAAGAGCCTTATTTTGAAAAAAAAAATCTCTTTAGCATTTCTTTTGACATATTTTAAAATTTTGAAATTTGTATTATATATATAGATCTAATTATTAAAATATCCGAAATGCAATGTACTTCGGAGCACTAAAAAAATATATCAAGAGAGATAAGATGAGAGAAAGGGATCTGGCTTCTCTGCCCTCCTAGTTTTCATACATTCTCATCTTTTCCTATTTTATGCGTTCACGGTTAAGCTACATCAACATTTTATATTGATTTTTTTATACAGATAGTAAGACAAAAAATAATAATGATATAAATTGTTGACGTAGCTTAACCGTGACCGCACAAATAAAAAAGAATGGGAGTGTATTAGAACTGGGAGGCAGAGAAGCCAAGTCCGAAAGAAAGATAGGGGTCTTCACATGGAATGAGAGACAGACTGCATTTTCAACATTTTGACAGACTGCATTTAACCTCAAGTTTTTGACATAATTTTTATGTTAATATTATAAAATATTATGATAAAAATATGAGATGACAAACAATCTATGAAAAATCTCATTTCGAGATAGCCTTCTTAACCGATCTCTTTATTTATTTGACAGCGAGCGGCGGGCAGGCAGTCAGTGTGATTGGTGAAATGTATGGATGAGCTCCTTGAAGAGTGGGATGTGGGGTTGATGCAGCCTCTTGTTTTGAAAACTTTGGAATCACGATGATTTCGATTCTTAAATAATGGGAAACAGTTTCCCTACCAACAAAGAAAGGCTGGGAATTACTTTTTCAAGGTTAATTTTTTGGGTGGCTGATTCGACAGCTTTTTTTCATATGGTGTGGTATATTACCAAATCTGCCGTCCATGTTTGTACAGCAAATATTGTTGTACTCATGTCTTTTGGAGGACAGATTTTTATGGCAAGAATTAAAGAGTTTAAGTGTAAAAATATTCTTCTCCAAGTGAATCTATAACGAACAATTGCTCTTTAAATTGATAGTCACTTTTCCTATGCTAAATGTTAAAAAGTTAATAAAACTCAAGGAGAAACGGAAGAAAGAAATTGTGGTTTTAGAAAATGAGTGAGTAAAGCGTCAGTTTGGAATTGCTGTGTTTTTTTATATTTTAAATTGCTTCTATTAAGCATTAAGAATAATTAGTCACAAAACAAAGCAATTGAGCGTTTAGTAAATTTATGTAAAAGTGATATAAATCATATATAATGACAAAAATAAACATGATAGTATATGTGATGACAACGACAACGGTGGCGAGGGCAATGGCTGTGATGGTGGTGGTAGTGGTGCCAATAAAGGGGTGTTGTGGTTGGGCTGCATAGGTAACAATGGTGGTAGGAGCGACGACAAACGATGGTGGTAGCAGTTGTTGTTGTGATTGTAGTGGTGGTAGGGGATGGTTGTGGTGGTGGTGGTGGCGCGATTGTGGTGTGGGGTGATGGTAACAGTGGTGGTGGTGGTGATGATGGCAATGGTGGTGTAAGAGTATAGGGTTTGTAGTGATAAGTGGTAGTAGTCACTTTCATGTCATTTAATTTATAAGATTTTATCTACGAATTTAATCTTCCTAGCATACCCGAGTTTTCTAGTTTTGAAATAATTGATAATAAAATATTTAAAATTTGTTAAAATAGAATGTGGTATTCAGGGATAAAAAGTTAAAAAGGCTAACTAAAAGTAGTTTTTTCACACTTCGCTCCCTAAAGAGTCAAAGACAGATAAACACCCAACATAATGTGTTTTGACTGACGGTCATGTCTAGGTCAAGGACTTTTAACCCACATTTAATTTAATCTTTTAACTCATTTTTTCACTAACCATTGCTCTTTGACTCTTTGACCTGAATAACAATCTTGACTGTGAAGAATAATGCCGATAGGTTACGCATTGAACTTCAACCTGTCAAGCTCTACATTCTTTCAATATTATCACCAAACTACTGAACCCAAAATCAAGCTCTCTCTCTACTGCTAAACCCTAAGGCCAGAGGAACCCCTTAAAATAAGAGCAATTGGTGAGTGATCTTTCAATTTGAGGGCTTTCTTTTGAAAATATATATGAACGTAAACTTATCTCATATTCACTCTATAAATCTATAATAAATTTTTCATACAATGATATTATACATTAAGGAGGTTGGGCTGAGTCGCACAATGTGCACGCTATTATGGTCTTCCGAGCTTCAATAGTTGAATTTATACATTCACTTATAATTGAAGAGAAATATTACTGGACTATTATACTAGTAATATAAATATAAATTGATAATGAATACAAAAGTATAATAATTTAAAGAGATCATGGTCCTAGCATTGTTTTGATGTACAATGTTATTCAACTTTAATTAGGAAAAGAAATATTATACGCTAACTGGACGGAAATTAGCTAAGCCACACAATGAGTTAGACATAAATAAATATCACTCTCACCAAAATTAAATTACAGTCGTGCCATTTATTGTGTAAAAAATGAGACCGCTCACTTACAAATAGAAAAAAATACCATCGAGCTATACTGATTAATAGGTCCTAGTATTTATCGATTTAGATAGAAATTGGTGTGGTTTGAGCGTTTGGACTTGAGTAAAATATTTTGCTCTAACAAAATACCTACTTGAAAATTACAGTATAAATAATTAAAGAGGAATACTATTGAACTATTATATTTATGAAATAAATATTAGTTAATAAAAATAACAAAAGTATAAATAATTAAAAAACATTATGGTCCTAGGCTTCTAGCATTGTTTTTATATACAATGTTATTCAACTCTAACTAGGAAAAGAAATATTCTACGCTAACTGGACATGAAATTAGTTAAGTCACATAATGAGTTAGAAATAAATAAATATCAACTTCAACATAAATATAATACAATCCCACCATCCACATGTGTCGAAAATGAGACCGCACAATTACAAACCATTGAGCTGTACTAGTTGATCGGTCCTAGTATTTTTCGAGATAGAAATTGGTGTGGTTGAGTGTGGACTTGAGTAAAATATTTTGCTTTAACAAAAAAGACTACTTGAAAGCATCAAACATCGCCAAAACTAATAATCCGGAATGAATTTGGATAACATGTGGATCTAAATTGTGAGAATCTTAGGGATTCTCACATTTAGCTATTCATCGCGTATTGTACGGTTAGAAATCATTTAATTTTTTTTATTTAAAATTAAACACAAATAGTACCTAACGAAAACTAATCGCATGATTTACGATGAACGACTAGAATGTGGAAATCCCTATCCTCACAAAGTGAATCCGAAAAGGATCATCTTCCATTTGGTATCAAGGATTTGATAATATTTACGTGGAATTCGGGAATTAAGGATTGCGTTTAAAATGAAGCCGATGGACCTATTTGCACTAATCCAATGTTAGACAAACATTGGACTGGATTACACGTTGGCTAAAATAGCAACAGTCCATATTTGGGGACTAGATTAAGCATTTTTCTTTTATGATACAATGATATAATTATATTAGGGGAAAATAAATTGGTTTTGAACTTGTCATTGACGAGATTCAACTTAAGACCTATAAGTGAAAAGAAATACCAGTTCTTATCGAAAAAAATAATACCCAGTACATCGGAACACAAAATGACAATTGAACCTGTATCTCCTGAGCCAAACACCTAACCATGGGGGGGGGGGGGGGGGCGAAGGGAGGGTGTGTGCCAGAATAAATTAGTTTTGAACTAGCCGTCTTTAAGATTCAACCCTAAGATCTACAAGTGAAATGAAATACTAGTAGTGTTACCAATTTGAGAGATTTTAATTCTTTTAATGAATCTAAAAGTATTCAATCAGTATTTTAAGTGATTTTCTGAAATTTAACGTGTAATCAATCAGGATTTTAAGATAGTTTATTAAAATCCTTAAAAATCCGAAGGTATTTAATTAAGATTTCAAAAAAGTTTATAAAATTTCAGTGTATTCAATTATGAATTTATTTTAAAGAATTTTAAAAACAGTTAAGGAATTTGAGGGTATTGGAAAATTTTCGTAGTAGAATTTAAGCATTCACAAACTCTCCTCTCCTCTCCTCCTGAGATTTCAAGGGAATTGAATAAACTTTTTTTATGGAATCTCTACAAATCAATTAAACTTTCTTAAATTCCATAAATTTATAAATCTATTAAAATCTCTCAAATTTTCAATTGAATACACCACCTAAATGACAACTCAACCTATTTCTCCTAAGCCAGCAACCTAACCCAGATGCAATTGGCAACATTCTAACTAACTATTGTCCCCTTCCAAGTTGTCCTAGTAAAAACATAATAGGGTTAATGAAGTGGTTAACATTTTTGACAAGATATGATTGTTGCGTTCACTCACCAATAAGAGGAGTAGTTGACAAGCTTTCGAAACGCACAACAAAACAATATCGGGGGACTCCCATGTTCGATTTACATGAATACGACGAGAATAATACATATTTATAATGAGTTCTGTACTGTTTTTCAAAAAAAAAAAAAAAAAAAACAAAGAGTTCAGTACCACAATAGTGGAATTTTCCATGTAAATTTGTATCTTACGGTTTTTCAAATATGAAAAAGATAGATTGCTTATACTTTATAAACCAGACCTCAATCGAGCTCAACACCTCCAGCCATGGACAACATATCCCCCGTTACTCGAGGATGGAGGCTCTGCATGGTTGCAAGCTGTATAAGCTGCATCATTCCGATATTCTTTCTCAAACACAGCCACGACAGCGTAAACCTATCAATTCTTGGGAGCACAGACATAGCATCAACAATATCGATCAATGAATCAGATGCAAACGTTCAGTTCTTGCAACAAGGATACTTCGAGGAACATGTGACGCAGTTGAATGAAGAAGACAAGTGCAACATATTTGATGGAAAATGGGTTTACGATCCGAAGGGAAGTCCTATGTACAAAGGGGCACAGTGTCCGTTTCTTAGTGACCAGGTCAGCTGCCAAAGGAATGGAAGGTCGGATTTCATATATGAGAAATGGAGCTGGGAGGCCAAGGGGTGTAAGATTCCAAGGCAAGTTAACTGATTACTTAATCCTAGTATATGAATTAAATGTTGTATGTTGCCTTAATTGTACCTAACATAAACACGGTCGTTGTGGTTGGAAGGTTTGACGCAACAGACATGTTGGAGAGACTAAGAGGAAAGAGAGTGATCATAGTTGGAGACTCACTTAACAGAAACCAGTGGGAATCCCTAGCTTGTCTTCTTTACTCAGCTCTACCTCCCTCTCAAACCCTAGTCGACGTGAAAAGCGGCATCTACAAGGTCTTCACAGCTAAGGTAGGTTGAGTTTTCATTTATACAAAAGATCCTCCGTCACTGAACTACTTTCTTCATATATAGTGATATTGAGGGGATGATGAAAATAAAAAATAGGACCTTGACTTCTTAACTGTGGTGGTGTTGCTTGTTTCTTTAACTGCAGACGTACAACTTTTCTGTTGAATTCTACTGGAGCCCATTTTTAATGCAGCAAAATGTGAACCAAGATAGTGGTGCTAGAATTCTTAGGCTTGACAGAGTTGCAACCTCGGCCATGAAGTGGATAGGGGCAGACATTATGGTGTTCAACACCGGTCACTGGTGGGTGCACCATGGGAAGAGCAAGACGTATGTCACTTGTGATCTAATAAAGAAAATGAAGGAATATTTTTCAAGATATTTGTCTAATGGAATTGAGATTTGCAGGTGGGACTTGTTTCAATACGAGGGCAAAACAGTGGAGAATATGGATATTGAATCAGCATTTGATATGGCAATGAATACCTGGGCACGTTGGGTTGATCAAAATGTGGATGCGACTAAAACAAGAGTCTTCTTCCGCAGCATTTCACCAGAGCACAAGGGAAAGCATTGGTGTTACAACAAAACCCAACCCATTGAAGACGATTCCTACGGAACAACATTTCCGGGGAAAATTATAAAAGTTGTTGAGAGAACAATGCAGCGCATGAAGACCCCGGTGACGTACCTGAACATTACAAAGCTGTCTCAGCATCGAAGAGATGCGCATCCAGCAGTTTATGCAACAAAGAAGTGGAAGCAGTTGTTAGCTTTGCAAAATAGAAAACCGGAGACTTATGCTGATTGCAGCCACTGGTGTTTGCCTGGCCTGCCAGATACCTGGAATAGGCTATTGTATGTATCTTTGGTCTTGGACACCTCCAAAGTCATTCTTAGTTCTTAACCTCTTCTTTGATCTGCCATCAGTGTTAGTAAACTTAGCATACTTCATTCTTCATAAGGTTGAATGAAATTTCAAAGAGAAGCGAAATGTACAGAAACCGTACCTGCCGTTGATTAATAACCTGAACAGCAGCCAAGACACGTCGGGGTAGTCTGTCCAAATAAGCAGACAAACCAAAACCGAGTATTCTAAATCATGAGAATTTACCTTCTGTGTGGATGTAAAGTTCCAGAATGTATGCATCCACAGTTGTTCCAATCAGTTGCACAAGCACGAAACTACGATCCATTATTCCTCTCTGGGCACTTATTTGAACCAGTAACACAGGTTCAACAGATTCCATTTTCAAATTCCAACATAAAAACAGAAAACTTAAAAGAAAAGAAAACGAGGAACAAAAAATACAGCGTAGCAGCACAAACAATAGCTAACCATAGACAATAATAGTAACCATCTTTTTAACAATGGTGACCATAAAGGTAGGACTCTATTGGGTCACACCCATTTGTAATGTAAATTTCAAGTACTTAATCTTATGGACGTTACAAATTGTTAACATACTCGAGACTAGAGCGGAAGACATTCTTGTTTATTTCCCACTATGGTACAAATTTTAGCCTAAGCTAGGAATTTTGAATGGCACCATGATCACCAAGGAGAGGCTGCAGTGAGGCGGTTTATTTACACAAGCTTTTACTAGGGTACCTAGAGAATCTCCCATTCAGATTCACAAAATTCATGAGCTGGTGATTTCTGTGTCTCCTCCACAGTCGGAGAATGCCCGAGACGTTCTCCACTTTCTAAATTTGATTTTTCATCATCCCCATACCATAATGCAAGCTGCTCATATTCTTGCTTCCTTGCTGACCTCTTCCTCAAAGCAAAGGCATTCTGAATTTTTTTCTAGAAAAGAAGTCCCAATTAATGCCAATTAAAGTAGGGAGAAGAAGGGAGGGCGAGAGAGAGAGAGAGAGAGAGAGAGAGAGAGGGAGGGAGAGAGAGAGATAACCTTGTCAGGCCTATGTTTGCTGTCCACGCGAGGAACAAAATGAACGTCCTCACCAGTCACCATTACACAAGTCTCCTCGAGCTTTGCCCTTTTCAGATTGTTGAATGGTTTCCGTTCCATGTACAACAGTATTACTCTCAGTTGCATGAAAATTGGAGTCATGCAAACCCCCTGGGAAATTGAGTCATTGGTTACTAATAGGAGAACAAAATAACATTCAATTTATCATGCACCAGTAACCCCATCAAGTACACAACTCTACATGTGAAAAAGAACGAGCAATTTTTCATGAACTAGTGTAAAATCTAGACCCCACATGAATGTAAATCAGTTATGGTCCACAGTTGAAAAAACACTCTCCTTTATTTTCTCAGTGTTATTATCTGCATAATCATTTTCAGTCAATACTTGTCAATATAAATACTGTTATCAGATTATTGTGCATCTGAATGAGATGTACTGTGTGTTACCAGGATGAGACGCAGAGATTTCCTTGGCAGCAGATTTTTCAGAGTGTACTTGTCCACTTGGAGAGGATCCTAACAAGGAAACAAACCCATTGTTCAAACAATTGTCTGCAGCAGCCAACCCGGAAATCAAAGAGAACAAGTAGGAAGGTTGGTGAAAACAAAACACTTTTAGAGGGTTAAAAAGAATAGTCACCATTTGATTCTACTGAAGCGCCACCAAAGGATGAATCCGGTATTTCGTTCCATTCTTTTGCTTCCAATTTATCCAAAACAATCATATTAGATGTTCGGCTGTCAACTGAAACATCAGCTGTACATTGGCTTGCATTTGCAATCACACAACTTTCCCTTGTGGACTTACATGTCATACCTTTGGTTATAGATGGGGTTATAGCTGTATCTCTACATTTCCTCGAAACTTCATGGGTATCATTCAAATTTACACAGCAGGATGATGATGGCCATGCCCAAATCAGATTCAACCAGAGTGATTGCCCCGGGAAAGTTCTCTTTGATTGGGTTTTCTTTGACAACCGAGTTTGAATTATTAAAATTACTCCCATCATAGTCTTGTCTTAAGTATACATCAGAGCATGCTCCTCCAGCACAATTCCCTGAGGATAGCATGCGATATTCATCCATGTGCTGTCCACGGAACAATGATTTATGGTCCATATCCATATTCAATGCAGCAATCACCTCTGAATCCCCACTCAATTTTTCAACATCAACTTTTACCGGCTCTCCTTTCTTGCTAACCTTTGACTTTTTAGAATTATCAACATGAAAATTATTTTCTACAGGGTACCCAAAGGCTGGCATAATATCCAAATCCACTAAAGAGTGACAGACTAAATCTTGCATTACATCTGCGTAGAACTTTTTAACACTTGCACCAACAGTCTGTACCTGATTCTCCACAAATTTGACTGTGTCCTGTTCCAAATAAATAGAATGATCAACAAAATAAGTTAACTGGACTACGGAATGAAATTAACATGACCACTATCTCATATGATCACTGAACCACATAAACACCATATTTTATTCCAAAGAAAAATGCACAAAAGATAAATATGTTCATAAGCACTCAAAGTGAGAGGATGATGAGGAAGAGGAAGGATAATTGAAAACTTATGATCAACACTTCCAGACCAGCAGTATGTGGTCATTATTCCTTTTATATAGATGAGGACCTCAGTTTAGGAATCCGGGAGACAAGAAAGGACTTCCAAAGGGCTTTACCTGGTACATATCTTCTTCTACCTCCAAGCACATAGTCTCGAATTTCTGGTATACACCCCCAACCCAGGTTACATCTTTCACATCCATAATGATCATAAATTAAACTTTACACAGTCGTTGTATGTCTCCTGGTATTTTGTAATTCCCCCACTCAGTTTCTACATCAAATTGGTAATTATCTGCAAGAAATCATATGAATTTAGTATTATTAGCTCATAAGAATGCATAAAAATGGTTCTTAGGAAGAAGAACCCCATAGAACGTTGAAATCTTCCATCTCCCAAAATGACACTAAGAATTACACTATGTTTCTTTAAGAATTACTGTAAGTGTTCGATATCAGTAGCACGTAATAGTTTCACCCCGTGAACCAAATAAATCAGACAAGCAACGAAACTGATTGAAAGAGATCAAATTCAACAGTAACTTTTTCCAGTGACCAACTGTATACACATACTGTATATCACCTCAAAAAAGGATTATCATCAAGCATCACGGCACAAGGGTTGACGGGTATTCGGTACAATTTAGTTTAGTGAAATACAAGTTCAAAAATTAATGAGTTGAGACCCTATCATAATATGAATGCAAGTCTCAGCATCCTATAATTTCTTCCAAATTTCCAAAGCAAACCAAATGCCAGAGTGTTTGATAGAACACCAAACAAATGATTAAATATAGTTTAAAAATATAACAAAACCAATTTATTTCAGGAAGCAACAACACAAACGATCCCTAACTTGAAAGAAAAACAACCCATCTGTAAATAATAGAACCCTCCAATTAATTTACAAATTCTCTCTCATAAGGCAAAAAGCACGAAAATTGATACAAAAAAGTAGCTAATTCATATGAATTTCCAGCAATTTTCCTGGTAACCAAACAGGTAAATGAGAAAGGAGCTTGCTTTTAACCATGATCAAAAGCAGCAAAGTTTGATGATTGTGATGAAAAATGAGGGTTGAGAACTTACTTGTTGCTGTGAATTGTGAGTGCTGAAAAATCTGATGATCAACTAATATTAAACATACCCAGAAGAACAGAAACCCAAAATCTCAGAGAAGAGACCTGGATTAATGCATAAACCCCCCAATTTTGTGTTTGGAACAATATACTACAGCAGGAGAGAGGTACAAGAAAGTAAGAAACGTAGAGACACAGTTCCTTTCATTGGAGCTTCTTCTAGCCTCCACGTGTTCAATTAAATATGTACAATACTTGGATACAAGTGACAGCATCTCTGAAAAAGATGTTAAATTTTAAATATTAAAATGATACTTGATAGCGTATGTGACAATTTGACATTTTGTACAATATTTTGTTCCGTCGATATGTCTAATAATAATATCATTTAGTAAATTTTTATTTTTTGGTGAAGTCCAATGATTAAAGTAACCAATCAAATATTTCAAATATATAACAACATTTATTATATATTATATTAATTTATTAAAATATCATTTAATAAATTTGATATCTGCTATCAAATTTGATAGCAAAAGGCTTTGCCTTTAAATGACTCAGCGCCACTTAAGAAATTGAAGGCTTGTTTGGAGAGAGTTTGCTGCCATTTTTTATTGTTGTATGCTTATGTAGCAATTTTGACATTTCCTTGGGAGATGCTCTGAGGATCATAGAAATTCTTAAATCACATCCGTCATTGTATATTATACGATAAAAAATCATTGCAAATTTTTTTTACTTACAATTGAATATAAACAGTATCTGACGAAAACTGGTCGCACGATGTATGATGAACGGATATGATTGGAGGATCCCTATAATCCTCACAAAGAGAATCCGGCGAAAATCCTCTCTCCTTGGATAAGGTCAGTATCCAAATTTAATGACATCTGACATGGCCCAATGACATGAAAACACATGTAGTTTTAAAGACTCATTATTCTTGAAACCAAACACCCTTAAAAAGAAGAAATTTTTCATTGTAACCGGAACACAAGTGATACACTACGTGTTTTCATAGAAGTGGTGAGAAATTTTATTTTTTAAGTTATTAACTTTTTAACATACATATCTCACCATTTGTATAGTGACATGTGACGTACCACCTTGTATACCGATTATACTGAACAATTTCTCTAAGGAGATTTTTGCTCATCACCATAACTATGATGTATGTTTACCATACACCTAATCATTTGTCACGTGTATTTTTTCTAACTCTAGTTACCTTTCACAATAAATGTTACCTTTTCAATTTTGAAAAAAAATAAAATTTAACCAAAGTTGAATAAAAGGATACATGGCAAATGATTAGGCGTATCGTAAAGATACACCATTGTTTGCGGTAGTGAGCAAAAATGCTCTCCACCCTTAAACCCATAACAAAACACCATTTTTCTCTCTGAATTGTAGTTTTTTTAATCTTGCACGTAGTCTATGGCCAACAAACCGTTGTTTCATCAATTAAAGTTATATTTCAATCGATGTTCAAGAACGGTGGGAGCTGTAAAATGAATTGAAACTGTTTGAGGCATCACTGAATTTGAGGAAGAGCAAGACTCCCAAGAGTGACTTCTACAAAATCTGTATAGATTTCGAAAGATTTGAGAATATTTATATAACAAATTTCTATGAATTTTGATAGATTTTGCAGCGCTGAATCTTGACCGTCAAAACAGTGGTGATAAATGTACCTTAAACTGACCAAATTTCAAAAACAAATACAATTTCATTTGATTTTTGACAAATACAAAATTGGGCATGAGATAAAATGATCACAAGTCTATGAAAGATTGGTGCTTTTTGCACAGATTTGAACAAAATTGGGCATGCGATAAATATTTCTGGTTTGAGTTAAATTAAGCAAAATTTCAAAAATGATGCAACCCAGCAACGAAATGATGCAATCCAACATCATATTTATCCATAAATGACGGAACCTAGCAACCCATATCTAAAATTTATAGAGATGAAGGAACCCAACAACCCATATGAGAAATGATGCAACCTAGCGTCATATTTATCCATAAATGATACAATCCAACAACGAAAATTGAAGAAAAAATAGTAGAGATAAAGCAAATAAAATGGCTGGCAAGCAGTGAGAGAAAGAGAGAGTCAGACATTCAAAGAGGTCTATGGATTTGAAATCTTATGGTGTGAGGTAAGATTCTATTTGATCTTGGTGATGTATACTAAGATTTTATTTGGTATTGGTTATATTCGAATGGACTTCTTGCTCTCAAATCTCATAAAATCCACAACTTAATGAAATTCTACAACTTTTTTTTATTTTTTAATACACCTACATTTGAATGAACTTTAAAAATGACTACTAAAATCTCATTAACTACACCTAAATTGGCATAGATTCCAAAAATCTTTTAAGATCCTTTAGTTGACTACACTAAACTTTTAAAATGCTCTCAAATCTAAATTTGTATACACCCCCTTAGTATAGGTTCGAGCAAATTGCGAATGAAACTCAACACACGGATACAAAAGGTAAACATTTTGGAGTTTTTGAGGTTGGTGTCAAAAATGATCATTTATCTAATGCGCGGATTGCAAGGTTAGAGAGGAAATTTGTTAGAATTTATATATTATAATATTAATAACTATAATATTTAATTCAATATTTGAATGGAAAATGCTTTAACCGTTGTTTCAAACCGTATCTTTATATATAAAGTCAAGGGCTTAATGAATAGTGTTTTTTGGCGTCACAATCTTCATAAAAATAATAGGACAAAAATGCTCCTTAAACAAAAAACTTCAAAAGTAATCCAAAATAATGTATAAAATGTGGCAGGAGTATTTTCTCATTTTAACAGTGTTTTTTAATAATTAATTTGTTTTGTACAGTTTTTTTAATTTTTTTAATTAGTACCTCATAATAGCTAGCAATAATGTGATTCAATCAGTTATTTATTAAATATTATTTTCTCTATTTTTAAACACGTTCAAAACATTTTAAGGCGTGTATGCCGGTTATAAAAAAGGTATTTCGCACGCGGATAATAATATGATTAAATTAGTTGTCAAATGATTTTTTTTTAACAAACGATATTATCTACACTAAGGGGGAAGAGGTTGGCTTAGCCTCACAATGAGCTAGCAATAATGTGATTTAATCAGTTGTTTATTAAATATTATTTTCTCTATTCTTAATACAAATTCAATAGAGACCGATTTTATTATGTGGATTCAGCTACTTTAATTAGGTTATGAGGAGTTTACTCTAACATGATCTAAGATTATTCATTTACTTTAAATATTTGACTTTTATTTTGTCAATTTAGGCATTTAAATACATTTAAAACGTGTCAGTCGTGTGTAACACGTCGTGATTTAAAAAATGTCTTTTGTATGCACGTGAGCGCGTGCATGAAAGCTAGTTTGTTATTAAGTGGGTGTCATCTTATACAAAGTGGCGCCACATTGAGTATGGACCTTTTAAATGGTACCATCTAAAAGATGTATGTATGCATCTCTTCATTAATCAATGTCTTTGGTTTTATTTAACCTCATGAAACCATGGCATTAAGCAATAAAAAATTAGAGTTAATTCTTACTATTGAGAAATAGGGTTTCACCACTCTGTTTCCTTTGTTCTTCGTTTGTCAAATTTCGAGTCGTGTCTTAAGAGTACGGAGTATATAAAGTTCACTAGAGTTCGAAGATTAAAGTGCTTCAACTTCGGATTATAGATTATTGAATCCTGAGAAACGGACACCTACCGAACTACAAGCACAAGAGTAGAGGCGAAATTCTGTCTTTAGAACATTGCATTTATGCATGCCTCAATCTCTAAGTTTGTCAGTCTTTCTTACTTTCTCTCTAGTTGTTTATATTAATCTTGCATACTATTGATGTTGTGATTTTCTTTATAATTATTATCATTGAAGTTCTTGTGTTATTTTCATATTTTATAATATTGCTCCAACAATTCGATGCTATCCTTTCTATGAACTCCATGACACAATCAAATGAAGTTTGTGCTATGCGTGAGGCCTACCATTGCATGCCCATTAGGAGCTGCTTATCCAGCCAACATGGTGATCGCCTACAACCGAGGCCCCAGTGAATAACTCTAATACATACCATCAGGGTTGGAGGAATCATCCTAACTTGTCACGTAAGGATAATCAAAATCAAGTTCAACCGGCTCCTTTCCAAAAGCCTGAGGAATCATCATCATCATTGGAGAACATTGTCAAGAATCTGGCACTTAGCACAGCGAAACTTGAACAACATACTTCAAGATTACAGCAAAACGCATAAGCTGTCATTGGGAAATTTGGAGTTCAAATTGGGCAGCTTGTTGATCCAATTGGTCAGAGAGAGCCCGGAAAGTTTCCAAGTCAAATAATGGTGAATCCCAAGAGACCCCATGGTAATTTGATATCTTGATTTTTTTTTTCCAGGTATGAGAATGTACGTATAAGATATCCAAAGTTTATTATCCACTCACTTTTTCATTCTTTAGATGTTAGTAAATGCGTGAACGAAAATCATCCTCATTCCTTTCAAATATTTGGTTGCTAGTGAATGAAATAGGTAGAACAAGAGATTGTTCCTTTGCCTGAATGGTATTTCTTCTTGTTTTCAAATTCGGTATGTTTTGATAGTATCCCTTGCACGTATCTATGTACCATTGGCACGTGTCAATGAACTTTTCCTTTTAGCTAGAGAATAGGCTTGTAGTTATTTAGTGTCACTAAATGATAGCTCTAGAGTTATCTCAGTGTCACACAATGACAATTTCGGTGTTATACTCGGTCGCGTCTATCTCCCGGCCGTGACACTAGCATAACTAAACAAACTAATTATATCAGGAATAAGTAGTTCCTAGAAGTTGCCTGTTATTTGGTTGCCAACTTGCCAAGTTACCCAGCTGAGCCAAACAAGGAAAGAAAAGCGGAGTTGGTTTCGCGTATTAATTAAATCTTTGACATGTCCATCCCACTTGAATCTTGTTGTTAAGGAATTTCTTGATTCCAATCCAATCAAAGTGCTAGTATTGTTCAAGAAAGGAAAGCATGGGAGCTGCAAAATCAACAAGCCGCAGTAGACGGGTGCAACCCTTGTTACCCTTTCAATTCCGTTATCGTCGGCATTCTCCTTCAGACTCATCAGTTTAACCTCTGCTGGGCAACCAAAACCAGGTATCTAATATATATATATATGTGTGTGTGTGTGTGTGTGTGAATATAT